TCATCCAATTCATAGACAAATCGAAATTAAGGTTCAAACATCCCCTCAAACTGGATAAAAATCTAACCTAACATACTAATAAAAATAAATAAAAGATAAAAGAGAGAATAAAATCTCCCTCGTGTGCGGTGCGGCTTCCCTCCGCGTGTGTAGCCTTCTCTCCTGTCCGTGCGTACTGTTCTTTTTTTCTTGCTGGGGCTTTTTTTTTCTGTGTCTGTGCGTGCTCTTTTCACGTAAAATTCCTTCTGCCAATCAAAATGAGTCCTTCCCAGCATGTCAGTTTTTATCTCTTCAGAAATTAATTCCCCCCCAACAATTATAATATTCCTAAATAAATCCTAATGAAGTTGGAGTTTCAACCAATTAAAGCTAATTGGTCAAAATTGCTTGTCCATTCACGTGAATCACAAGTTATGAGCTGGTGCAAATTGGGCCTAACTTTAATGTTCAACCGCGGGCCAAATTAACAGGTATCGGACTCTCGATAATTGATTACGTGAATTTTCGTCCAATGCTTTGCGTCCAAAAAATTTTCCAATAAGCTGAAAATAAATATAAAAATATCACTGTGTATGAATCCATATAAATAATAAACAAGTCGAAAAATATAAACGTGCGAATAAATTAAGTATATAAAAATACACTATTAAATATATAAAACATGCACATTTTTCGACCTATCAAATCTCCCCAAACTTAAACTGTTGCTTGTCCCCAAACAACTTATAATTAGAAGCACATAGATGGATATACATAAGTACGTGGAATATTTGCTCAGGTCCTCACACATCTCACATAAATGCATAGCTATAACTTCTCAAGTTAATAATCCCGAACTCGAAATGAAATCATCTTTAGAACGCCAACAATCAAATATCAATTCAGTGAATCACCACAGTTCATCAATCTCTTTACCGAGTATACCAATCATGCAACTAATGACACCCCTTTATTTGTCAACCGGTTTGGTTTATATTCGCTTCTAGTCAGAAATCAAAAGTCTCGATTTTTTTCTTTTCTTTTCTTTTTCTTCTTTTTTTTCTTTTTTTTCTTTTTTTTGGGAACGGCAGCTCCGTCACAGTCTATGGTGTTTAGCTATTCGTGCTAGTGATGCACTAAAGCTCACAGACTGGCAGCTGTTGCAGCCCACGATTTTTTTTTCTTTAAATCTAACATCCATTATTCTTCTCCTCCACCTTCATTATTCACACCTTCTTTTTTTTTTCTTTTTTTTTTTATTTTTTTTTCGAGACATTCAACTCCCAACTTTCCACGTCAAGTCACATCACACAATCGACATCAAGCAGAATAATCACCAGCACAGTTCAAGAATATAAACAGTTCAAGACGACTTACTACGAATAAAACACATAAATTTCAACAATCATGTCTTTGTCCCTCAAATGATAACACCTCAAGATTTTAACCAGAAATAATCAATCCAAGTCATTATAACTAGCACAATATTCCAATAGACTCTCATGTCATCATCGCAAAATTCCACATACATATAGCCTCCTACTCAAGAAAATCAAGAAAATATATAATAATCTAGCATATAAACCTCTCACACTAACACACCTCCCCAAACTTAGTGTTTGCACATAAGAGAACAAAATAGAAGGTAAAAGGAACGAGTTCACCTAATCGAAGAGAGGAAGTCGCGGTCGCACACATTGGGTTGCCTCCCAACAAGCACCTTTTTTTATTGTCGTTGGCTCGACTTATTCTCCGCTTTCTTCAAGCGGTCCATGGCGGCTTCATAGGTGGCCTCAAAGGAGGCACGAACCTTGCAGCTCCATGCTTATTAAAGGTCCCCTCGTCCGGTGTCGGGTGCTTTACCGGATCTTTTCTTCTCGGTGGTAAATGATCATGGTAAAAGATTAGCCCAGGATCATGGATAAGAGGGAAAATCTCAACCACCTCAAGGATGTAAGGCTCTTGATATTCAACGTGCTCAATTGCTGGTTGTTTGAACTC